TGCCCCTGCCTTCAGCTCACAGACCATTGCCAGATTCTGAACTGTATCCTCATGTCCCTGCAGCCACTGACATCCAGGAGAAGGTTCCATGACAGACAGAAAGTGGGAGGCAGAATCACTGGGATGGGAACTGACAGCTCTTTATGGGATGGGTCCTTCAGCTCAGAGAGACAGAATGTCTGAGTCTGGCTGTTGGCAGCTGAGGGACCTCAGGCACCTACGGCCTCCCGCTGTGTGTTGGGCTCTGCACATGAAATGATGACCCAGACGTGCCCTCCCAGCTGTTTTGATGACTTCCGTCTCCTACAGATGCTGCTGTAATGGACCCAGAGCCTGCGGGGGACAGAACAAGGAACAGGGAGATAGTCCTCCTAAGGCCAGCCTCATGGATATAGTCTTATTCCCTACTAGTCCTGAAGAATGTGAGCCCCTCCCTCACTCAACATTTCCGTCTCTGCAGGACTCTGATGAACCAGACCCTCAGGAGGTGACATACACACAGTTGGATCACTGCGTTTCCACACAGGGAAAAACCACTCGCCCTTCTCAGAGGCCCAAGACACCCCCAACAGATACCAGCGTGTACATAGAGCTTCCAGATGCTGAGCCCAGATCGTTGTCTCCTGCCAACGAGCACCACAGACGGGCCTGGAGGGGTCTTCTAGGGAGACAACAGCCCTGTCTCAAAACCAGCTTCACAGCTCCAGTGCCAGCAGCTGGAATCTGAAATCTCGACTCTGCATCTTAGAGCATCGCTTTTCCTCACACCACAAATCTGCTGGCTCTGTCTTGCTTACCAATGTCTGCGGTTCCCACTGCCTGCTGGAGAGAAAACACACTCCTTTGCTTAGCCCACAATTCTCCACTTCACTTGACCCCTGCCCACCTCTCCAACCTACCTGGCTTACTTCCTAGTCCTACTGGAGGCTGCAGTCACACTGAGGAACTCACAATTCCAAACATACAAGAGGCTCCCTCTTAACACGGCACTTAGATTCATGCTGTTCCACCTTCCCTCATGCTGTTCCACCTCCCCTCAGACAATTTTTCAGTCTTCTGTCATCAGTAAACCTTATAAAAATTTGTTGTGATTTCTATGTAGCTCTCTCATCTTCAAATAAACGTGACTGTCCTCATTCTATAGGTAACTCTTTTTTTGCCTAAAGTTTCTGGTGTTATCATTACTATGTCCATATAACCCCATATGTTCTCCACTGGGTTCTCACCCCTCGACTCTGAGCTTTTGGAAGCAAGGTGGAGCCTGATTTCTGTCTGGAACTCCAATTTCCATCCAATGATGCAGTGCATAGGAGGTTCCAAGGGTCATGAATCAGATGAACAAGTGATATTCTTACTCTCTGCAGACCTGGAAAGCTGGCAGAGCCATTCTAAGATGAAACATCTGTAGAGTCATAGGCCTTGTTGGTCTCATCTCCACGGGGACACATGTCCACACATCATCTTCATACTATAAATACACAGTCGCTCCTCCAGACCTGTGAGGTTTACAGGTGTTTGTTGAGCCAACTATAAATCAAAACTATTCAGAGAAAAAATCCGCAAAGTTTCAAAAAGCAAAACTATGTTGAATGGACACAAATGAAATGGTATGTAGGCTGTGTCAGGAATTATAAGTAATCTAGAGATGATTTCATGTACACAGGAGGATGAGCATGGATTATATGCAAACGCTGTACCATTTTATGTAAGAGGCTTGAGCACCTGCAGATTGTGGTATCTGAGCAGAGATCCTGAAACCAATCACCCACGAATAGTGAAGGATGACTGTATCTAACTTTTATTTCTCAATTTTAAATATAAATCATAAAAAATTTACAATACCAAGATAAAAAACAAGAAGTGTTTTATAGTGTGAGAATACGTGTAGATTTATTTTTTTCTATGCGTAACCCTCGGGCCCATGTTATCTATGGAGAAGACATTCTATTCCTCCTTAAACCACACGGCAGCCTCTGTCAACTCTAACGGGGTTGTGTGTACACGGATGTATTTTAGACACTGTTTTCCGATAACGGGCTCTCTGTGTTCACTCTCTTGAGGATGCTGCACATTATGTAGACTTACACAACCCCTTGAAATTTGGTAGCTGGAGTCCTCTACTTTTTTATTATAGGCTATTTGCTATGCTTTTTAAAATATTTCTTGAGGCGGAGTCTCACTCTGTCACCCAGGCTGGACTGCAGTGGCACGATCTCAGCTCACTGCAACTTCCACTTCCCAGCTTCAAGAGATTCTCCTGCCTCAGCCTCTTGAGTAGCTAACATTAGCTCACCACCAGGCACAGCTAATTTTTGTATTTTTAGCAGAGACATGGCTTCACTAAGTTGGCCAGGGAGGTCTCGAACTCCCGACCTCCGTTGATCCGCAAACTTCGGCTTCCCAAAGTCTTGGGGGACGCTTGATTTTCTATAGCATTATGTTACTGGATATTTCCATACAATTTAAAATGAGGGAGGCAGAGAGACAGAGAGAGAGCGAACCATGAGTTGGGGCTCTGGACTCTTGGGTCATGAGACAAATTGTAGATAAAATGACAAAAATCCAGAATTGACATGTTGTGGGTTTTGCTGATAAAGAACAGTTCTAAGATTGTAAATAATGGCATAATCCTTCCCTGGGTATTTAAATCATTTAAACTGGTTCTGCTGTCATACTAGAAATACAAGCATGAAACATCCTAATGGTTTATTCGTCACAATTGCTCTGACAACGTTCATAATACCTATTAGATATTTTGCATATTACACACAGAAAAGAGTTTGAAACACAGATAAAAACAATAAAAATACATAAAAAGTCTTTCACGTCAGCACAGATTTCAGTCACCTCGTGTCCGGGAGGTTGGATCTGAGACGTGTTTTGAGCTGGTCATAGTGAAGGACACAAGGTGTCAGTTCTAGTGAGAACAATTTCCAGGAAGCCATTTTCCACTCTTGAGTGAGCACCCGCTGCACCTCATGCAAGGTAGGAAGAGCCTGCGTACGTCACCCTCCCATGATGTGGTCAGCACGTCAACTGCATGGGCAGGGCGCCAGATAACATCCTGTGCGCTGCTGAGCTGAGCTGGGGCGCGGCCGCCTGTCTGCACCGGCAGCACCATGTCGCTCATGGTCGTCAGC